GTGTCCTCCGCAGACCAGCCTGGCTTCACAGGGAGTGTGGGCGGTTGTCCTGGCAGAGCCCCTCCTTGGAGGGCACCTGGGACAGAGGGTGAGTCTGGGCTCTGGCGACACATGAAGGATTGCCCATCAAGGTGTGCATGGCAGCGGGGCCTGGGCATCTGTGCCAGGTCCTCCCAATAAGAATGTGGCCCACGTACTCGTGGGCACCGGGCAGGTCCCAGGGAAGATGAATCCCCCAGGGGCCACAGCCAGCTCTGGAAGCCCAGGCTGCGCCGGAAGCCAGGGGTCCCGGCGGGGCTCTGGTGACCAGCTTGCAGGCACCCTGGGCATGGCCCATCCTGAGGCCTCAGGGAGGTGGGCTCAGTGCAGCAGGACCCCCGGGGAGAGTGACAGGCCACTGTCCCAGAGAGACCCCGGGGGTTGAAGAAAGGTGCCTCCCTCTCAGTTCCTGTTGGAATTCAAAACAGAAGCAGCTGTTTCAATGGCGGGCCACTGACTCTTGACGGGTCACACAGAGAAAGCCTTTTGTTCCCACAGCAGAGGCGACTCTCAGCAGGTGGCGGGCAGGGGTTGGGGAGGGGTTCCCAACCGTGGGTCAGCGCCCTGCCTGAGTAACTGCGCTGTAGTCGGCACGCTAAACATTTGTTCTAGGTGCTTCCATTAACACGCTGTGCTGCTGCCCCTCCCTGCGGCCACAGGCCCCTCCTCACTGTGGGGCCGCTGCTCGGGCTGGGATGGAGGGCTCTTCATTGCCCATCACGGGGTCAGCACAGCAGAGAGGGACCCCCCAGGGAGGCAGGCCATGGGGACCGGGGCTGTGGAACCCAGGACTGTGTAACTGACACTGCTGTGAGCAGAGGCAGACATGGTCAGCATTTACAAGCCCGGAAGCTTTAGGGCGGGGAGAAGGAGGCGCCTGGACTGGCATGAAGGTCAAGGTGGGGTCCCCGGGGGCCGCTGAGCTGCGAGGACTGCGCCACCTCTGACATCTTTCCCCTGCTCCAGGTGACACCTCAGAGCCTGCCCCTGTGCAGGAGGGGGCACCGGGGGTCCTCTGACCTCTGCAACCCGCCCCGCCTTTCTTGTCTTGGGGAGGAAGCCTGACACGCGGCCCCTTTGAAACCCACCATTTTCTAGTTCCCCGTGTTCGAGACTCTTCTCCTTCCTGTCCTGCTCGTGTCTCCCTCCCAGCACTCAGGAAGCTCCCTGGACATGAGCCTTCCTGAGGACACATTTCTCTTGTTCTCTACAGCTCCCTCAACTCGATTAGATTCCCAGTTAATACACTAAATTACATTAAGTTTCCATTAGAAACCAGGGCTGCAGTTTAATGAGCTAACCCCGGGGACATGCTGGGCTTGGCCTGGTGCACGGAGGGGACCTGCTCTGCTGAGCCCATCTGCCCTGCGTCCAGCCCAACTGCCTGGCTCTCTGCCTGTCCGCCCCTCACCTCAGGGCCCTGCTCCCCTGCTGGACGCTGCACCCCTCACTGTGAGGGTCCTCCCACCTGGACACGTGGTCCCTCCCCCGGCTGTGCCGAGCCTTCTCTCTGGCGCCCGCTTCTCCTCTCCTGCCACCCAGTCATTTGGACTGGAAAGTCGGCCCTTGGCTCAAGCACCAGGCAAGTGGGCCTCACCAGGCCTGCTGGACAATAGCAGGGGCCGAGATGGCCGCCGAAGGCCAGCACCCACCTCCCAGAGAGCCACGCTCATACAAAGACAGGGCACGCCACACCTCCCAGGCCACCTCGTGCCTTCGGCAGTGTCAAGAGCTGGGACTTTGGACTCAAAGAGACCTCACCAGGGCAGACAAAGTGGGGATCGCAATAGTTCTGCGTCCCGCCGAGCTTGCTGCTTACTTCGATGAGGTAACATGTTAAGCGCTTAGGCCTAGCACGTAGGAAATGCTTCATAAACACTAGCTGTCATCGTGAACCCGTCTTGGAATGAGGTAAGTGGTAACGAAGTAAACGCTCAGTAGACGGAACCCACTGCTGGTTCTGGAGCAGAAAGTGATGTTATAGAAGCAGGTGACGCGAGGAAGGTTTGAAAAGGGGGCTGGTTTAGAAAGGGCAACGTGCACAGGGAAGTTTGCTACAGGACGGCGGTGGCAGCTCAGGTCCCTGGGGGCAAGACGGCCTTTTCATAAACCGGACAGCACCCCTGGGAAAGGTGACATTCGCTCCACCGTTCACACCGCTACCGTAATAAACTCCAGGCAGAACGGGAGTTTCGGTGTGACACGGAAACCATGCAAGCTCGAGAAGGAAACACGGTGGATTCCTCTTGAACCTGGGTGTAGAGAGAGGCTTTCCAGCTGTGGCTCAGATCCAGAGGAGATAGGAGACGGATGCACGTGACTACGTGAACAAAATTACGTGGCAACAAGAACACCAAAAACAAAGTCGAAAAGCAACTGACCGACCGGGAGAAAACAGCTAACGCATAGTGCAAAGGCTGAGCATCTCTTCTAACATGTAAAGAACTCTTTAAAAGGGGCCATAAAACTGATAGAAACGGGAAAAGACATGAACAAACAATTCTCAAAAAGGGGTAAGAATGGCCCTCAAACACAGGAAAGATGTTGAGATTGGCTCATCCTTAGGGATGCAAATTAACACAGCCCTGAGACACCATTTCTCTGTTATCACCTGGGGAAAATTCCAAGGTCTGTGGGGAGGTACCCGCTCCCCACCACTGCTGGTGGGGATGAAACTGGTGTAGCCCTTCTGGAGCGGGGGTGGGGG